CCTGCAGGCGGCGCTGAGGTCCAGTCCCCTCGCGGGAAGGGTAGCAAACGCATGTCCGCGAGCCTTGCAGTCAGCACCTCCCCGAACAAGTTGTCCCAATTCTTTTCGTGTAATTTCATACCGCTTGCGGCGGCGTCCGGTCCAGCGCCCGCGCCCGCGCCCGCGGGCGCGCCACGCCGCTGCGTCGGCCTCCGCAGCGGCCCACTCAGCCCTCACCTGAACGCTGCGGGCGGTGTGGCAGGCCGCTAGGTGGCCCCTGTTTGGAGGTCTTTCACTCCCTATCGTGGGCCCCACGAAGGACGCAGTGCTCACCAGCCTGGACCGCCCATGGACCCAGGCTCGCACCAGGAGTACTCCTGCGTCGCCCCCGGGCAGAGCGGGGCGGCAGCAAGCAGCAATAGTGCGCACCCCCCCACAGGAAACTGTGATCAATACCCAAATACGGCGAGCGTTCACACCACCAGCCTGGTCCAAAGCAGTCGGGCGGGACGGCCACGCTCGGCGCTATGGGGAAGCAGAGCGAGACACGGGAGCCACCGGACAGATGCGCAGCCACAGAACAGAAGCGCGCATGCTCTTTGTGCGTGCCCAGTTCAACCCAAGTGCGCCTGGCAAACAGCGGCTGCTACAGAGCGAAGTTGCGCCACGCGCGTCTCCTCAGCCACCCCCTCCCTGAACAGTTGAAACAGGGCAAGGGCAATCGTCGGCCACGAAGTTAGCCGCAGTTCAGAGAAGGCAGGGCACTGAAGGAGGGCATGAGACACATCCACGTCCTCAGCCCACCCACACGCAGCACACCGCGCCAGGCGCTGCGGCAAGATGGGAGCACCAAACACCGGGGACGGCCAACACCCAGTCAGGCGTACAACAGCCCACAGCCGCATCATCTGCCACGTGGGCGGGCCAAAGTCTAGGTTCAAGAATTCCGCGGGGCGCTGTGTGGGTGAAGCCTGAGTCCTGAAGATGGGGGCTCGAGAACAGGCAAAACCGACGAGGCTGCCCGTTGGAACGCTGCCAAATCAGCCGCCACAATGGCAGGCCGAACAAACTCATATCTATACTGCCGCAGGACCGTTCCCCGCTTTAGGGTCGCACCTTCCTGTTGCCAGTCGTTCTTCGCGCAACCGAAGCATCAGCGGCGCGCGCGCACTGCGCTGCGAACCCGTCGAGCCACCACAAACAGCCAGCCGATGCCCACCCGCCCACCCTGGCCTCAGGTCGGACACGTCCTCCTAACAGGCGGATCTTAAGGAGGTAAAATGAAAGATCGGCAAGAAAGGCTCATACATACAACTATACAACTCACGAACAAACAAACAAACAAACAAACAAACAAATAAACAAACAACCAAACAAACAAACAAGCAAAAAAGAAGCAACAAAAAAAACCTCGAAATTCGTCCCCAGACCGTTTTTGTTCTTATCTTTGAGTACTCCTCGCGTAAGGAGGGACGTGCCCGACTCAACGCTGGAGCGACGAGAGGTCCCAGGGAGCGACAGGCGGACCCCCGGCAACGACAGACGAGGGCAGCAGAATCACGGCTGGGGGCTCGCCCCGACGAGCGGGCGCTGACCACTTAGCACGCAAGGAGCCATTAAGCGACCCCGAGCGAGAGGCCACTGCCATAGAGGAAGAAAAAACGCCATAGACATAAACTTTTGGCGCTCCGCACGGATGTCCTCGATCTGCGCTCGAGCCCCCTCCCTGGCGCGCGGAGCGCGCCAGGGGCGGCGCCGGAGGCGCCGCAGGAGGGGCCCAGCGCGGTTCCAAGAAATCCGCGCGGAGCGCCAAAATATTATGTTTATGGCGTTCTTTCTTCTCCGATGCCAGGCCGCGAGACAAAGGCTGCGGGGAGGGCGCAGGGAGGAGGCGGGAGTGGGGTGGGTCACAGAGGGGGGAGGGAAGGAAAGGGGGGCAGGGGAAACAAACAAAGTACCTGAAATTAACAAACACGGATGAAACCACAGAAAGCTGGCGTCGGCTACGACACGCGCGAGGCAGCTCACATCGCGGATTCCTCCCCAGCAGTGCCGAGCATCGTTGCAGGGCACCTACCGTGGCGTGGCTGCCAAAAGCGCAGCCAGTCTCTTGAGACACGTAATTGCCATGGCACCGTACGGAACAAGTATACGCTGGGTCGCGTGGGCTTGCGTGGCAGAATTTTTGCCGTTTCCAGCTGAGGCACTCCTCCCTCCGTTCCCTCTGGTCCCTCCCTCCCTCCCTCCCATCCATCCCTCACTCCCTCCATCACGCCACTCCCTCCAGTCCCTCCCTCACTCCCTCCACTCCATGCCTCCCTCCGTCCGTCCGTTCCTCCCTCCCTCCCTCCGCTCAAGCCACTTGGGCTCGAGCATTTTGCTTGGGCTGACCCTCTTGCCTGCCCAAGGTAGCTTGAGGCACACCGCTTGCTGTAACGAAAGCGAGAGCTCAGTCAGAGCCATGGGCGTCCCTTCGAAGACGCAGTCGCAGAATGGCCAGAACAACAGTTGGAGTCAGTGCGCGGGTTGTGGCCGCCACGAGCGGACCTCGGTGCTCACCGTCCGCTCTTGAATGTATTCCAAGTGCGGTCGCAAAGCACGCCTGTACAAGCCTCGCCCCAGGCTCTCCGACGACGGCAACGACACAGCCAGCGACAGCGTCCAAATTTCTCCGCCAGGCCCAGTGAGTGAGGCCACCTCCCTCAAGCAGTTGGTGGCCGCCACAACCGACGCGCAGCTCAAGGAGATGTTGCAGAAGCGTATTGCCCACATCGAGACCACCCCCTCGGCGGTGACTGATCTCACATCAGGTGCTGCAATCGCAATCGAATCACTGCGCAAGGCAGTGGGAGCTTGGAAGGAAACAGATCACAAATATACGCAGTGTGTCAACAGCGTTTTGAAACTTCGCACCTCTCTTCAGCACGCGGAGGAGCAGGAGAGGAAGGCAGCCGAGGTCATGGCACAAGCAGATGGGGCCAAGGAGATGGCTTCGGCTCTTCTCGCCGAGGAGGAGGAGGTTGTGCCGGGAGCGAGCGTCGACCCCGCCCGTGGGCAAGGGCAAGGGTCCGCCCGCCACGGCCGCCGCGGCTTGGCTGTATGAGTCACTTGCCGCCGCCGAGGCCCCCGAGGTCGCGAATGCAGCAGCGCCTCGACTGAGGAGCCGACCCTGATCGAGATCCCGAGGGAGCGTACCACTACACGTCGGTCGGAAGAAGTAGGTAAAAACATGAAGTAGGAGGCGGATTAAGTTGATTGGGTCCAGGCCCCCCCAGGGAATAACAAAACACAGCAAAAGCGTGTCGATTCTTGAAGTAGGAAGGCGCTTGAAGTAGATTCGGATCTGGGAATCCAAAAATACCTACTTTCAACGACCAGCGTGTAGTCACTCCTTCCTCGCCAACATAGCTGCTATGGGGGACAAGTGCCGGCCAGTCCTTGAAGCACGAAACCACTCGCGCGTTCACTCCTTCGGCTTGGTTGAAACTTACGTCGCGGCCACCAACCTAAAGATGTATGACAAGAAGGCTCGTCGCCAACATCTGCGGTTGATTGTGAACAAACAGAGCTGGAACATCGGCCAAGACAGCATCGCATTCTCGCCCACAGTTTTCTAACGCGGGAGGCAAATGGCTTCTGGCACGCGGACACCTTCAGGCACATCAGCATTTGTCAAGCGAGAGCGGACGAGCTGTGCACACCCAGGGTCAGGCGTGTTGGGACGGGTTCGTCCCCACTCTTGATTGACCAAAAGAGAACCCTAAGACTTTAGGAGGGGACCTACGTTAGCAGGGCCAAGAAAATGGATAGGCGGTCTTTCTGCAGATATATCAGACCAAACCGCCCATATGTATTATACCTAATGCGAAGACGGGGACCTCAGTGAGGCCACGCTCTCATCATGTCATTAGGGTTAGGGGCTCTTTTGTGCTTGACGAACCCTCACTCATTTCAGATGCTCCTCAGTAGCAATACTGCATTGCTATGTGCACCCGTCGGTCGGTATGGCGGGAGCTCACACTGCTCGCTTTCACCACCTCAGGTCGCGCCTTACTTCGCCCCAGGTGCCAAGGGTCCCATATTGACTGTATGCTGTGTAATCTGCCGGCCAAATCCAACAACTAGTCACATGTGTTGATGCTCCGTGGAAGCCACATCTGGGGCTGGCAGTGCAATCTCATTCGACGGGGTTCCAGCTGGAAACCCGAATATCATCTTTGCCAGGTAAGCTTCCACAGGCAACTAGGCCTCGTAAGTCTGCGGCTCCTGGCTCTAAGCGTCCCAGGCAAAAGCAGAGACACGTGTCAAGCAGACCTTGGCGCGGCAGCGTAGGTGAGAAGTGTACTGTTCAATGTTCGGGGATCGCTTGGAACCTGGTCCACCAGAGGTGCCTCAACAGAGCCAACGAGGCAACATTTGGTCATTTCTAGGCGATCCCACAGGTGAAGCCAAGGAAGACCTCGACGCATGGCTGCTACAAGAGGAGGAAAGGCTCATGCGAGAACATGCCGAAGCATCTCCGTGCGTTTACATCACCCCACCCCCACCCAGCTTAGACAAGCCCCAGGGAGAGACCCCGAACCCGAGCTATACGACTGAAGAAAATCAATGGAATGTAGGTCGTGTTCAGGTTGGTTTCGTCCATAGTTCTGCGAAAATGCATGACCACATTGCCTCGCCGCTGCGAAACTGCTTTGGCCCCAGAAATGTTTCAGCCGCCATGGGCATGCACGTCTCCTGGGTCACCGCCTTGCAGGCAATCATTTGCACACACGCACACACACACCGTTCTCGTGGTACTCCCGCGGGGCCCAGCGGAGCACAGGGTCACCGATTCCACGTGGGCGAAGGTCATCAGGTGCAACACTCTCGGCTACAACTCCTCCTGGATGGAGCAGCCAACTGGTGGGCCCACCTGGCCACAGTCGCGGCGCCCATATGTCGGCATCGAGACAGAGCCACTGGCGAGAAGCAGTTGGAGCCATTAGATGCGGCCGGCTCCACGCTGCAAGGCGGCATCC